TTTTATCGCGATTTTAATGAGCCTTTGATAAGGCTCGATTAAGGCTTAATTGTTTTTTAATGGGAGTTTTTTATCAAATTTATTTCATGGTTCCTAAGTTGTAGCGCACGGATTTGACTTCGGTAAAGTTATTTAAAGCTGCTTTCTGATGTCAAAAACGACCTCCAAAAGTTTTTTAATTTTTTTAATTAATCGATTTTTTTATATATTAATTTAATTAATTAGGGGGGGTCAGAAATCGCAATTAAAATCTTAATTTTTTAAAAATATTTAAAAATATACGTGTTGGTCATATTCACCCTACTTTAAACCCTTGTCCTCCTGAGACGTATGAGAATGTCCCGGGAAATCCAACTCCAGCTGTGTTCAAGGTCATTCAGCTGTGTAAACAATGACTCATGGGTGTTAAATTTCACAGAAAGGCGAGACAAATGAAAATAAAATTTGAAGCTTTTTCTTCAAAATTAACGCATTTCTTTCATTTATTTCAGTTTTAAGTATTTTTTATGCTTAATTACATCATAATTAAAAACAGGTGGGTGTTAAGGGGTTCTTGTTCTTGTCTTTGGCTGATTTATATTTAATGACGAAATTTGCATAATAATTTGAACAGCCAATTGAATGCTATCAAAATTAATTCTTCTCTCTAAATGTAGACAATGTTATACTTTAACTACTTGTCACTGCAATTATATCCAGTATTGATACAAGCAAAATTGAGTTAGAAGGACAATTTTTTGTTTTTTTACCAATGTCACCAAAAGTTGCAAAAGTTTTTAATAGAGAATACAATTAAATTAATAAAATTTATTTGAGAAACATTACCCTTTTTGTTTGGATGGTAATTCTAATCTAAATACTGAAGTATCATTTACAACTTTCTTGAAAGCCTAAATAGAGTAAATAAATAAATAAAATTTCATATAAATAGTCATTTAAACAGCAACATTCAATAATATATATATATATATATATATATTATCTATTTTATGTATACTACTACTAATTACTAATGTATAGTATATGCTTTAAATAACAGAAAATTTATATACAGTCAAACAGAAATTTAGTGCCACCACTTATTCATCATTAAATATACAGTAGAACCTCGATTATCCGGACCTCTATTATCCGGATTTTCGATTATCCGGATTGTTCAAAATAAACAAAAATTTTATGAGTTTGCTGATTTGCACTTGGCGAATTACGACACTGTTTACGTACGTGATGGAATGCATAACTTTTTTTGTTTCAACAACGTCTCACNTTGAGTTTTACTTAGTAGAAATGTCTAAAAAGTGTGCAAAATATGTATGGAAATACAGTATTACAGCACCACCTGTTTTGGACAACCACCTGTCTAAAAGACCACTTTTTGAAAGGAACTGCATGTGGTCACCATAGACAGGTTTTACTGTATATGAAAAATTAGATATTCTTTAAAGCCAAAGTTATCAATTGTTTAAGTGCTTATGAAAGTCTTATAGTTCTGCATCAGACAACACTGATGACCTATTCATTTTTTTAGACAAAAACTTAATGTTTGTGAGATTGATAATGTCAAATTCTTCCAAGAAAAATCTTGGAACTTTTAGAGAATTTGATTTCTCAGTTTGAAAAGTCAATTGCCTTATCAAGTAATTGACCTTTAAAAAATGAATACCCTCTCAATTTTTAAATTTTCAAAATAGAGTAAAATATTTTGAAAACTTAATTATATTAATTTCTCAATTTTATTCTTCTTTACACTCTTAGTATATCATTAATAAATAAAAATATTTTAAAAGGAACTGAATTTATTAACTTACCTGAGTAATAATATCAGCAGAAGCAATCATATCTGCTAAGCCTTGGTCAACAATATGTAGTTCTAAATCACGAAGCATAGGAGTTATTCCATCAGGAACACGATCCATCAGTTTGAACATCAGTTGTAACCCTAAATATTTGTTACTGTTATTAATAGTTACATTAATAACAATAAGTGTATAAACTAAATTTAAATTTTTTTTATTTAATAACAGAAAAATTTTTCTTAAACATTTTTAAAAATTTGTAGATTTTAAATATGCATTTGTATGACACTTTAAATACATCCAATATTAAAGTGTGATTTATGTATGATATTTTCATGTCAACATTATATTTGCATTAATATGTTACAATTTTTGAAAATTAATAAAAAAAGTTTAATACATTTAAAATAGCCATAAGCAATTTCTAAAATCATTTTAATGCAGCATTTATACAAATTGAATTAGCTATTTAAATATTAAAGATATTTAAACTTACTTTCAGTTTCATTATATTTAATCATATTAGGACATTCAGCAAGTGTAATCTCTTTAAAGGCTGTTACCAAAACATTTACACAACATTCTGTTAGCTATAAAAAAAATTTAAAATATTTTACTCTAAAGAAAATAATTATGAAAAATAAATAGAACTTACTAAAACTTAATCTGGTAAATAAATTAATAATATAAATTACTTAAACTTGACTAATGTATAATAAATATGCTTTAAAATAAGGACTTAAAATAATGTTTAAATTTTAGTGAATTTCTTCTAAATATTACAATCTTTCAACTGTACCATTTTTTGGTTTGCTTGCACTCTAAAATTGTGTGTCAGTTAATCAATGAATGAGTCAGTGAATCAGAAAATGAGCCAATGTAGCTTTATTATATTAGATACTAATTAATTATTCAAAAGGAATATATATTTTTGTATAATCAAATTCTGTGTTAACAGGAAAAAATTTTTTTGGACTCAATAGTCTTTTTTATATTAAAGTTCTATCAAGAATCTTCTAATCTTTTGATTAAAGCACCAATAAATTAAGTAGCAGTAATTTTATTTAAAATAAAATCAAACCTTATCTCGTGCTGTTAAAAACCTTGGATCATCATTAAATGCTTCTTTGACTAGCTTGCTAAATCGTATAAAAAGTTCTAACAGTTGCTCAACATATTTTTCGGAATCCTAGATAAAAAAAAAAATATATATATATATATATACACACACAATCCTGGCAAAAAGTATTTGAACATTGTTTGAAATTTACAGATTTGAGCATTCTAATTTGAATGGAAAAAACCATTAGTTTTAAGAAAAGTGTTTTCATCATTTTCTAAGTGAACAGTGATATTTTACCTGTTTTTGCTTANATTATTTCAACCAAATAATAAAATGATTGGAAAAAACTGCCACAACATATTCTGTTTAAAAGCTGAAAATTATTTTTATATGTTTTCAATCCTGTCCATCTTCAAACAAAAAATTAGCAAGTTTTTTCCCTAAATTTCTTCCTTTTTTTTCCTAAAGATTTAGTTCATATTTTCCTCAAAATAAAATTTTAAGAAGTGAATATTTTGTTCTGCATCCTATTTAGTAAGTCCAACTGTTTGAACTTGTACAACAACCATCTCATAAATTGGCAAACTAAACAATACTCTAAACTCCAGCTAAAGTTTTTGACCCTTTCTAAATGCTACCATCAATCTGTTACATTTGAAATAATCTTCCAAATGTATTGGAACATCAAAAATTTAAGTTTAATTAAAGTAACATTTGGTTTTCTGATTTATGAAAAAATTCAAGTTGGTATTTTAATCAGTTTCAATTATTTATTGTCTTTTCTAGATAGAGATAAAACTGTTATGAAACAATAAAAAGTATTAATGATGTTCATTCTATAAAGAATTTTTTATTTATTTGATCCTGAAATAATTCATAATTAAAAATAAAATTATA